AGTTTCAGTCGGGGTGTCGTACGCGCCTAGTCGATAGGATGATCCCGAAGACCTGTGCTCTGCTGGAGAACAGGCAATGCTCATCCTTACGAAGGTTTCCTTTAAAGCTTTGGGAAAGAACAACTAAAGGGAAAGCTCACCCCTCCTCTCCTTGAGCGTGCTTTGGCACCTGAAGTACCGGGAGCTAAGGAAAGGCAGCTGCTGCGTTCGGAACAGCGCCGCTGGCCCGGGAGCAGTGTTTCTGGTCCGGGGCAGGGCGGGGGGTGCCCACCTCTGCCCCCCCACCCGTGAAACTCTGAGGACAGCACCGGCGGGGGCGGGAAGGCAGCTGAAGGCAGCGAGACGCAGAGTGGGCACGCCGCACATTCGCCTCGCCTCGCCTCTGCGTGATGTCGGTCTCTGCCGACCTGCTGCGGGAAGCGCTTACGTCTTCGGTAAGGCTCAGTCTCGGCATGGTTAAGGGGGGAGCTAAACGCCCTTCCCAAGGGAATGCGGGGACCCACGACGGGAAGCAGAACACACGCACAAAGAAAAACCGCAGAGGACGCGGCCGGCGAGGGAGCGGCGTCGGGGGCTCCCTCGGCACAAAGAAGGGGCCTCCTCGAACCACGCGTGGGACTCCTCGGTTTTATTAGCAGCCGCAGGCACGCGCTCGTGCGGCGACTGCGGGAATTGGCAACACATAAAACATCAAATCCGTTGGCAATCGAGAACTACAAAGTGCTTTAGAACTTCATCCGAGATGAAGAGAGGCGATCCTCACACACACGCAGATTTGCACTTGAGCGTTTCCGAGCGTCTTTCTAACGGGTCGCTCGGGGGCGAACAGCCCACGGGACCGGGACGCCGGTCCTCCCAGGTCTGACGGGCACGGATGTAAACGCGACGTCTGGCGCGGAACAAAGAAGGAGTAGTAATTCCTAACACTAAAGTGATCGCTTACTAGCTGAAATGGCACGATTCTCAGCGGTTCCAGAGGGAGGAAAGAAAGAGGTTTGCGGGATAATACAAAATACAGCAAGCACACCTTTTTACGTATGTTATTTAAGTATGAAAATACTCTTAGCGTATTACGTTAAACATTCTTTCTTATTTATATTCCCGTTACCTAAAGACTCGCTATTCCGCCGTAACTCCCCTGTGTAAGGCATGTGAGCTAGGGCTGGGCGAGGGCGGTTCTCTTTTGGTTTCGTCGAGGGGCGCGTCGGGCGACTCCCTCCC